TTTTTTCTATCGATTATTAAGGGTGTCTCTTCACGAAAAACACCTTCAATATTCTATGAAAATTTTTTTAAAGCAATTGGTGAAGGCATTTTTGCTAAGAAAACCCCTAGAATAATTAATAACAAATAATCTGTGCCTAAACCCCAAAAAAGGCTAAATGACGGATCGAACCAACAACCTTATGGTAAACATCCGTACAATCCAAATAATTTGATAAGCTTAATATTGAATGTACTTATGAAGAAAATAAATTTAATAAGCTTGGGAAAATTTTTGATCCAAATATTAAAGGCGTTTCTTGTAAACAACGTCTTTATTAATCTCATATAATTTTTTATGACGTGATTGTTGAAGGCATTGTCTATAAAAAATATGCCTTAACTATTCATCGATATTTTTAATAAAAAATATTCAATGCGTTTTAGTCGAGAAACAGCTCTAATATCAAGTTTTGGGTGACATTTATAAGTAATAATACCGCTATTTAAATATTTAGTGGCGTTTGGATAATAAATGCCCGAAGTTTTATAAAAATACGAAAACTAACGGCGTTTGTAAGTGAAAGACCGCTATAAAATTGCCGTTAATACACCATTTTGTTGTAGTGAAATCTTTAAAATTAAAGTTAGCTAAATTCTTTATTGATTAATCTTTTAGGGTTATAATTGATTTAGGTTGTTAAAATTAGATTAATTCAATACTGTAAGATTGGTTTAGAAAGCTGTATTGAATTTAGGTTTCTTGGGAGGCCTGTAACATCAAGTTCTAAATATTAAAGCTAGTGTACCAAAAATTAAACTCATAATAATGGCAAAGCAGCAAGGTAAGTAAATATTAAAACTCTTTTAACATTTTGTTACAAGAAATTACAGCCTAGCACAAGGAAAGATGAGGTCCCCAATTTGTGTTTGCTTGTTGTCGTTAAATAAAGTCTTTATCATTGTATTTTATCTCTTTTGGCTTGAACTGAAAATTTTTGTCAAAAAAATCATGATTTTGTCCTTTCTTCTTCCTTGTACTCCTTTTAATTTCATGCCCATGAACATGAATCTTCAAAGTATTAATGTAGCAAAAAGAAAATTTGTTCTTCTTATCGTGTGAAGCTGACTTTGTGCAGAGATTGTTTTTGGTGGGAGAGATTTAATTATGTAACACCTTCAATTAGATCGTGGGTTGTTCATTTCTAGGATTCCAAATTTACAAAAAAGGGAAATAATAAATTTTTTTTTTTTGGGATTATGATTTATAAAATGAAAATTAGGATCCCAAATAATTATCACCTATATTTTAAAAAAAAAAAGATAGATTCTAATATACTACTAATCAATGATAAATTATTTAATATATTAATAATGAAGTTTTTTAATTTTACAAATGATATTAAAAAGAAAATACATGTTTTACTTTTTTTTAAAACATACATTAATAAACATATGTTATTATCTTAACTTTATTTGTATGGTTAAAAAATTTCATTATTAATGTATTTGATAATTTTTTTAATCAATAAAATTGAACAAATTAAATATAAAAATTAAAATATTAAGAGTTGATAATTTCTCTTAATTAATAAAATTAAATAAATTTAGTATAAAATTAAAGTATTAAGAATACTTTTAACTATTTGAATCTAAATTTAGGTTTTGAGAAAAATGTATTATCTCCAACCAAATTCATTTAATAGAGAAAAAATTCAATGCTTATTAAATATTCAAATAAACGATTAAATTAGAAAAAAATGAATTGTCAGCGGTCATTTAATTTATTGATAAAATATCAAATTTTTTATGATAAAATTTAATTTATTAATAGAATATTAGGTTTTTCAGTGACAAAATTTAATTTATGATTACTTTAAATAAAATAAAACAGAAAATAATTCAATTATTTTATTTTTATAAATAAAAAAACATATGTGCATGATATAAACCGTTGATAAACAAAAAAAGCCTAATTTGAACCGTCCGATCTAGGGCTTCCATCCAAAAGAATCCGTATTTATATATTCTCTTCTCCCATGCTAAACCCTTGGGTCTGTGCTCTGTCTGCAGCTTCTCTTGCCAAAAACAGAGCAGAGAAAACAAAACCCAATGCTTAAAGGACCCCAGAAAAATGGTTCAAAGACTCACTTATCGGACTCGCCATAGCTATGCTACCAAATCGAACCAACACCGGGTTGTTAAGACCCCTGGTAAGTCTTGAAGTCTCCAAAACGATACTTCTTTTGGTGCTTTGTTGTTTTTGTCATCATTTTTATGAAAATAATGTTGTTCTTAAGGTGGGAAATTGGTTTATCAGACTACTAAGAAGAGAGCAAGTGGGCCTAAGTGTCCTGTTACTGCAACGAGAATTCAAGGTGTAAGTTATTTTCTTTTCTTTTTTATTTTGTTTGGTTAAAGTTGGATTTATGTTTTGGAATTTTGAGTTTTTATTGTTGGGTTGATCAATGAATATGAAATGTAGGTACCCTTTTTGTTTATTTGATTGAGGAAATGATGATTTGATGATAAAAACAACGAATTTTCTCTGTTTGTTTTCTTTTTTTGTGTTTGCTTAATGAATTTTATTTTCCAAATTAAGTTTAGATTTCGATACTTTTCACACTACTTTTAGATCTAAGAGTTTTAGAATGGGGAATAATGATCTTTAGTTGTTTTGTGTATTTCTACTTTTATTTGAACTTAGTGTTGATGGTGATAGTATGGTATGCAAAGTAGCTTGTTTTGACTAGACTTGGCAATTCCTGTGTTGTGTTTGTATCACATGCTTAAAACATGAGAATTGCTATGTCACAATTCGAGTTAGCACATCAAACACGAAACATGTGTTTTTTTTTTTTTTTGCCAAATTCGTATATAGTTTTTGTCAATTTTAAATTGTATAACTTTTTTTTTTAATCTTTTTTGTGTGGTGCCTAAAATTGTCAGATCTAGTTTTGATGGTTTCAAATCCTAAAATAAAGATGTATTCATCAAAACGTTTAGGAATTGGTGATAATTTTCGATAATCCCTAACATTGCACGTTTGTATATGGTGGAACCCTGTATAGCATTTTACTCAAAAGCATTATACAAACTGTGACACTTTATAGTAGCATGCTTACTGTATATTAAGTGAAAATGTAACATAAAACCTTTTTGACCCATATAGAAAGTATGGTATTTTTTATGTTCTATCATTTTTGTTACATTGTTCAAGTAGTCTGTTCTGGTTCTTTGTGATCATGTTGTTGATTGACTTCAAGTTGTGATGCATCTAGCTAGCTCTTATGTTTTTCTGATACCACTTCTATGCAGATCCCTCACTTGAGACATGCTGAACACAAAAGGTCTAGATTGCCTAGGAACCGCAGGACTGTGAATTGAGCCTATGGTGGTGTTTTGTGTGGAAGTGCTGTTAGAGAGAGGTATAATTATGTGCATTATTCATTAGCTGTTAAATGATTATGGATGTTATTTTGTTCTTTGTTGGTTGTGATTAATGCCAATTGATTCTTTTCTTTCCACCTTTTATCTTTTCTAAGGATAATTCGAACCTTCTTGGTGGAAGAGCAAAAAATTGTGAAGAAGGTTCTGAAAATCCAGAAGGCAAAGGAAATGCAAGCCTGAAAGAGCTAGGAAATTAGATGTCAGTGAAGCTGAGAGAAATTTTGGTTGCTATTATGGTGATGATGAAATGTTGAACTGAATTTCAGTATTTTCTTTTTAGTTTGTTCAATACTGATTAGTTTGCTGCTTGTTCACTTGACGACAAATGAATTGCTAATTTATTGTTTTAATGATGGTTTATGTTGAGTTGGTTTCTTTTTATTTGACCTTACCCTTGTTTAGCTTTCGTTATTCTTTTTCAAAAATGGCTGTTCAAAAGATTTCTTAAAGCGTCAACTGGATTGGTGTGGTTTTTTGGTCTGGTGAAAATGTTCATACGAAGGGGAACAGTGTAACTGTTTGTTGAGCAGGTTTCTAAAGCTAGAATGTTGATACTAACGGGAACAAGCTTGTTACTTTGATGCTTCAGAGGACCATATAGAATAGTTTTCTCACATCATAATAATATAAAGAGATAGGGAATAGGATGCGGATAAATGGAAATTTTATCGTTTTGATGCTGTTATTCGAACAAGGGCGAGGAAGGTAAAAGAATAAGAGCATAATCTAATTAGAATTTGAAAGAAGATTATTATCCTTATATTTGATGATGGCAAATTAATCAATCAAAGAAAAGAAATGAAGATAAATTATAGAAGAATGGCGGTGCACTTAAAATTCTTTTTAAACCAAAAAAAAAAAAAAAAATCAGGAAAAGAGGCTGACTGAGAATGGTTTGATTCTTCAAGTAATTTGATGAAAAGTTGTTTGAATAAACGGTAATAGACGTATTTATAACTTTCATTCAGCATCTGAATTACCTTTTCATGAATAGGTATATTTTAAATGAAAATCGTCATTTTTGGAATGAAGCATTATGTACAACGGATTGATTTTTTATTTTTCAAAAAAGATATTCGATTACACGATAATGAAATTCCATTGGTCTGGAATTCTGGATATATTTTTACACAAAATGTAAGACTCTACAGAAAGTTGATTACCTTAAAGTATTCAATTGTTTCAATTCGCTTTTCACACAAATTGTAAAATCTTTCAAAAAAGCTGCTTTAGGTAATTTTTTACACACAACATAAATTTCATTAGGGAAGTCAATTATCTTTCTCGAGTATTTGATTGTCTTAGACAAAATTTCAAACAAGTGTGACTGCTAGCCAAAAAGCAATTGTCTAATCCGTCCTTTTTCATTCCAAAGTTTATTTGTATTTATTCTTTTAACGCAAATACACATTATATGAATTTAGAACTTCGTTTTCATTAAACTATTTAAGAAAACATCTTCTTTTGTAATATATACAACAGGAACATGTGAAAAATGCACAATAATACTGTAAACCGGTGTGGCGCTCATACTAGCCCAACTTAATACTCCAAAACCAGTAGATAGCTGTCTTAAGTATGGCATTTGTTAGTTGAATAAGTAGTGGAAATCTCACTTGGACATTGAGGTGAATCCCATGGTAGATTAGGCTTCCATGAATCTGGCACATTTGGAGATAAGCTGAAAGGAAACCCCATTGATTGGATAGTCCCCCAATGGTTATCTTCTGGGGTTGCATTCCTTGTGCCCTCTTCATTTTCTCCTACACCTGCATTGCCTTGCATATCTTGGGGCCAGCTGATTAAGAAGCCACTGTATTGCTGTTGTTGCCCTCCGAAATCTATACTCTCAGACGCCTTGGTAACATCAGTGATCAAGTGTGGGCTCAGTAGGATGGAAGCAGCATCAACTGTACACTTGGGGGATCCAGTCATGTCAAGCTGTGAAAACATGCAGTTGTTGTGAAGGTCTCCATTGGAAGCAGGAAATGGAGATGGTCTTTGGACTGTAGTATTGAATGACTTATAAGAGGGAATATCTAGAGCAAAAAAGCTGGCAGTGGAGCCTTCTTTTAGCTCACCATTGCTGCATAACTGTATTGCTGATCCAATTTCGGTTGTGCAAGAAATGTTCTCTGAATTGAACTGAGTGCAAGGTGCACCTTGGTAGATTATATCAGATGCTGCAGTCTCTGGAAATGAGGATATCCAAGAGTGAGAAAGAGCTCTTTGAGCTATGGAATTGGTCTTTTTGAATATCCTACAAATAGCCCATGCATCCTGTAGAACAAGGCAGATTAAAGAAACTCATTTTTGGACAGTTCCTGATTAGAGAAAACATTGGACAATTGATTCACAGATCATTACATTTGCAGGAAGGCTTTTGTCTAAGAGCTTCTTTGGTGGTGTTGAGTCCGAGAGTGAAGGTAGCCGAAATTCATGCATCATCCAATCTGTTTTAATCCCTTTGGCAGCTCTTCCTCTATAGAACACAAGGGACTTCTTCAAACCAATACACTCGGTGCCATCAGAAGAGTAAATAGGCCTGTCTGTTCCAGTTGCCTTCCAAAATCCGGCTCCTGTCACTCTGTTAGGCCTCGCACTATTTCTGTATTTACGGTCTCTTGGGCAGTAGAAATACCACTCTTTCTCCCCTGAAGCTGCTAAGTCTGCTTATAGGAGAACGAAAAAAAAAGATGAAAATACTTTATTTGAGTGAAGTAAATCACCATAGAAGGAAAGGAAAGCCAAATTCTGACCAAGTATTCATGTAACAAAGTATGGAAATGATAAACACGGTCAGTTAGTTTATACAGTTACTCTTAAAGAGGTGGTATCCAGCAAGTTTAGGGATCGAACCCAGATACTCGCAACCGTTTCCTTGTCACGTCTTATATGTTAAAAAAAAAAAAAGAGGTAGGGAAATGATGAAAACTCACTTGGGAGATCCCAGGGTTCAAATTTATATATGTCTACTTGCTTAATCAGCTCAATGGGCAAAGGTCTCTGCTGAATCTTGCTCTTGAGATAAAATCCGACAAGCTCCTCATCTGTTGGATGAAATCGAAAACCAGGCAACATCACATCTTCATCGTTGTCAACATCATTCCTCTCATCCATATTACTTCTCTTATTTCTCTGCAGAGAGTATAATGAGTCACAAGTTGGAATAATTTGTTTAAATTGAATAAAAAGGCGATGGGCTAATAGCGATCACAATCCTGAAATTTGAAGCTAATTAAGCTATTGATGCAACAATCGGAGCTTAAGCTCTGAAGCAGTTACGAATTCCATGAAAACTCTCTTTAAAGAATGGATTTTCATGGAAACTCAAGTCAAGGCAGTGAGAATTTTATTTGAACTCCCTTTCATTCTCAACCCCATAAGAAGCTGTTTCAATCCAATTCAATGATCTGAGTATGACTACAAAATCAGCAGTTGTTTTGAATTTTCGAAATCAAATTGTTTTCACGCACTCTTCAGCTTGAAATCCCATGGGGCAGCTCTTGTTTTTATCCTGAAAAATCAAAGACAAGGTGACAAAGCAACCTTCCAATATCATACTATTCTAATTCTTTTTATTCAATTAATCTTTGCTTGAATAGTTTTTTGTTTGGTATACTCATGGCTGGACCAACTACCAGCACAATAAGTTCAAATTTATTTTCAAATCCATGAGATTCTATGACAATTCCTCTGAGACCCCTTTTGAGGAAAAAATATTAATTCTGATATCCTTGATTCAAAAACTGCCATTTCTATTCCTTTTCTCATTCCCTGTCACATATGAACAAATCACCTACCATATGCCACTGGACTGTTTACCAAACTGTAACAGATTAGCAGTTCAACTACTTGAATTACTGATAAAGACCAACGAGGTCAGTTGATTGCTCATGCATTTTTCTTAAGAATAAATGGGATGGTATAAAAATCTTTACTCAACTTTGCTAGAAAGCGAGTAACATTTTTCTACATCAATTTCAATAGATTTTGCTGAATTATAACCAGCAATTTAATGCAAAACTTCTAAAACTTTGCGCATGAAAGTGTGACTAATTTCTTCTAACAGAAATATTATAGGCCTTTGATAATTATGAACAATGGTATTATCATTTGGTAAGGAAGCCAGTCACATAGAATCATGAAAATTTGGCATTAAGTTCATTATAAAAAAAAAAAAAAATGACATGCGTCAATCTCCTTGATTTTATGAACTTTGGAATATGGAATTCCTCAAATTCAAAACCTTTTTGGTAATACCCTATCCTGGTTTCAAACATGAAGCGATTGCATTCAACCAAAAAATTATTTTGAGTTAATCACATAAAATAAAAACCATTTGAATATTTATATTCGAACAATGCTATTTTACCCAATATTTTAAATTGAAAAAAAATTGAACTCTTATACATCACATCGATATGATTTATTAAAAGTTCATAATTTATTAGTAATATGACAAAAAAGATTTTTATCATATTGTAATATCATTTTATGATTAAATTTTCTTATCACATTGTTAAATGATTCTTTAAACTTAATATTTGGCTTTTAAAAACCATTAATTTTAACATTTTAGGTTATCTAAGCATTTCCACATTTGATTGACTGTTTTGCTTGATCAAAGTCATGGGAATTTTCACTAAGAAAAAATGTATAACATGTAATAAAAATGATAATGGGAGGCTAGTACAATGCTTAATTTAAACTATAATTGTCCTATGCTTAAGTTTGCTAACCAATATTGTCAGCTAGAGGGATATATAACAAGTGATAAAACCTTTAATAAATAGGTGAAGATCCTTTGGTCAAATGGCCAAATAGGAAGTCATAACTAGTTAAATCCCCCCAAAATATAGCCCTCGATAAGAACCCTTCTTATCTGTTCCTTGACCTTGGGTATGCCACCCGTTGCCTGCAAAATGGGTCACATTCTCTCTTTCTATGTGAAAATTAAAGTCACAAACATAATCATGTTCCCAATGTGAAAACCCACACGAAAGTTATTGACTATTACTAACCTTTTATAACTTATTAGGCCAGTCTAAATTTTCTTATAGTAATATTTTTAAATTATTTTTTTAACACGTTTATGTTTAGTTACTAACCTTTTAAATTATTTTAAATTATTTAATATTTATAAAATATTATCATATATATATATATATTATATTATAACATACATAGTTACCATATAGTAGTTACTGATATTAACGCTTACGTGGATAATTTTTTTTCAACATATAAAATAATTTTTAAAATTTTTTATTATGATGACACATAATATATTTATTAATTTTAAATTATTTATAAAAAAAATATTTTAAAAATTATTAAATTATATAAAATTTTAAATTTTAATCAAAAACTAATTTAAATTATAATAAAATTCTTTTCTTTTGTACATCACCTCATCTCAATTTAAATCAATTTTAAAATAATTTATCTTTTTTAATTTATTTGGACTTAACATGATTCTTTAAATTTATCAAAACGTTTAAAATATTATTTAATATCTTTAATATTTTTAATAAATAATCTTTACATTATCTCTAGTTTTTAAATATATTAGTTATATATAAAGATAATTTTAAAAAGCAAACCACCAGCTTTAAAAAATAGATTTAGATATATCTAAATTAAAATAAAATTTAAATTTAAATCAATATTTGTTATAGACTTTTAATAATAATATTTTAAGAAAATATAAAAAAAAAATATAAATACTAGAACAACTTTAGGAAAGTCCTCATTGTTGGTAATTCTTAATTATATAACTTTTTTAATGTCTCATGAAACATATGAGCTAAACGTATTTTTCTTACTATTAATTTAATCTCTCTTTTTATTAGTTTATTCTTGCTATAAGAATTAACATGCATTTTTTGATAATAGGTATTATTTCACTAAACATATTATTCAGTCCATTAGGTAGGATTTTTTTTTTCAAATAAGTTGTAAGATTTCTTTTTTCTATTTCTCAATTCATTTAATTAGAACCCACTTAAGCTAATATCTTTTTTTATTATGATTTAAAAACAAATAAGAAAATAAACTCAATAAATTTGTTTCATTTATTTATGCAAATGAAATCACAATGCACAACTAAATAATAGTTAGAAGAAAATCTTTGTTAAATAACTTTTAAACTCTAATAAGCCATGTTGATTACTTTGATAGAATTTCTTAATTCTAAAATTATCAAGTAATTATCTGATTAGATATTTCTATTTAGAAGATAAATGTATAAAATACCAAAATTTAAATATTATTACCTGATTAGATATTATCTATAGATAAAATTATTATTTAAATATATTTATGGATTAAAATTTATCAAGATTTAAATAAAAAATCAACCATATATAATATTATGTTACAACATACAAGAATACCTTATAAGATTTGCTTTAGTGTAATCTTATGTGTACAATCTATTTTGATAACACATAATATAGTTTTAAATATACAACCAAATAAGCATTTTTGCATGATTACTTGTACAATCTATATATAAGATAATTATTTACTTTTAATTATTTATCAAATAGTTTTAAAATTTAAAAAATTAAGTTTATCCAATATTTCAATTTTATATAAACTTTAACTTAAATCATAAAAAATCTCAACTAACTTTTATCATCAATATATATCATATCCAAAATTCAAATCCTTACTTTTAAATATCAAATATTTTTTGATTAAATCATTATAGTTTTACTAACTTTTTGACTTTTTTCTATGTATATTACTTTAAATATTTAGATTAATTATATGTAAAGCATACAAATTAAATATAATTTAGATATATTTCTTTTAAAATAAAATTTCCAATAATATACACATATCTCATTTAAATTTGAAAATTTTAATATTTTCATAGATTTTCTCATAATCTTTTAATATTTGGAATTTTAAAAAAATTCAAACAAATTAACATCACTTATTATATCATTTATACTGTCAAAATCTTTTAATATTTCCTCGATTGAACTTGCTATTGATTACAAGTTAAATATGAAGTATGTATTTCTACATTTAATAATCCTACAAATATATTATTTTTTAAATGCAAATTTCTTAATTTTTTTAATGGTTTGATCAATATTACAATTAAGTTAAGGTATTCAATTCTTTTTTGAGTTAATTTTATTTTCTAACTTATTGTTTATTTTTAACTTTTTTTTATTTGCATCACATTTTCTAATTATTTTAATTACTTTTTTTATCAAGATCACAGTTATCAAACACTAAAACAAAATTTGGAGGTATTTTTTTTTTGTTATGCCAAGAAAAAATTATTGAATAAAAAATTAGTTTTATATAATTTATAAATAATATATATATTTCATTCGTTAGATTTTTGGCATTATGTATTGAGTTTAACTTTGTGAAAATCCTGTTTTATGCAAAGATCATACTTAGGTGCCAAATAATTGGACAGTCATTAATCTTACTGCTTGTTTTTTGGACGTATGAAACTTCTCGATAATGGTTTTTAATATGCAAGGTTATGTTTATTATAATATTTTATTCAATGAAAAGTGGGAAACAAAAATATAGTAAAGAGAATAATTATTATTATTGCTACTATATTTAAATTTTTAAATATTTACCTTTTTAACTTTTATATTAACACATTTTTTCTCAAGTAAAAAAGGTGATAACATGAATTGTGCATATGAATATTAAGCTATAAAATATTATTTTTCGTGAAAGTAATGATAATAAGTTTTGCTTAGTCAATAAATATTTTTCAATTCAAGAATTTTTAGATTATCTTTTACTTTTTGTAACTTAAGTAGGTTTTTATATATTTTGTAACTTGAGTATGTCTCTTGCATTAATTATTAGTTTTGGAATCACATAGATTTAAAAGTAGGAATCAACTATATTTCAAAGAAAAATTTTTTGGATCCAAAGTAATTTTTTTATCTATTGGTTACATAAATATTTTATTATGAACTAATGTTTAATTGTTGACAAATATTCTAATATAGTCTTTTTAGTTTGTTTGTAGTAATAAATTTTAATTAATAATTTCACAAATTTAAAATATTTTAATTAATAAATAAAATTAATCAGTGCATCGCATCGGTCATAAACTAATTTTTTAATATAATTACATTTTAATTATATATAAATATATTATTTTTATTAAGTTGATATCTTAAATTAAAGTGTTAGCTTTTTAGATGAGATGGTGATCCAAGAGGGGAGTGAATTAGATCTTTTCAAATTTTTTTCCACAAAAATGATTTCAATATAATTGAATGAAAATTAAAACCAATGTCAAAATATGATGCAAATAACAATGAATTGATAACCTATAAGCAAATATAAACTATAATTAAAATAAAGTGATAAGGATAGATAAATCAAACACAAGGATTTATAGAGGTTCAGTCTTTCTCCACAAGGCACCTACGTCCTCTTTTAGTTATCCACACCAAGGCTTCAATCCACTACTCTTGAATTAAAATTACAACCCTATCTTTTTCTTTTAAAAGCTTAAGATAGAAACCTTATACTCTCTACTTTCTAGGCTAAGTGGTAACTTCTTAATTTCACAAATTCAAAAGGATGCTTTACCTCTTGATTACAAAGTCACTTAATAAATATGCTAACATAAAATACCTCTTAAAGATTAAGTGTTTGCTTAATAAAGTATAAAGAAATATGATGAATAAAGAACACAATATTGCTTAGATATAAAAAATACAAAAGATATGGATTTTAAGCTCTAACAACTCTTAATTCTTTAAGAGAATAAAAATATAGCTTGTTAGTTTTTGCTCTCTTGATTCATCAATCTTCTTGGTGTGTTGGAGTGACCAATATATAGAGAAATTGAAGAACTAGCTATTGGGGAAGCTTGGGAAGAAGAAATGCCCTTTGGAAGCATGAAAAACTAGTTGTTGGAGTGTTCTAAGCAAGACCTAATCAATCCCTTCCATGAGGGGATCGATTGGTTCATGTTTTAGAACCAATTTGCCTTTAAAAATCATAGCCCGATCGATCCTTTCCTTGAGAGGATCAATTGGTTCAAGGGGATGATCAATCTCTTCTCTAGGGTGATCAATCCCTTCTTTAATTAGGAGCACAAAAATCTATTTTGGGTAAAAAATCGATCGATCCCTTCCCTGAGGGGATCGATCTTGTCCAAGCTAGGTGATTTTCTTTTGTTTTGCACTCTACTCACTAATTTGATCATATCTTGAGTTATACAAATCCAAATTATAAACCGTTTGAAGATTAGAAACTAGACTTAAAGGATTTTCTATCCCTATAAAGTTCATTACCTAATTCATTGTGTACGAATTATAATGAATTCTCAAAACTAGCCCTTGTGCAATGTTTAGACAAACTGTAGAGTGTCTAGTAAAAATTTAAAATCTTTTCTTAAAAAATTTGGATTTTGATTTTGTTTGATCAATTAGAAAGTAGACTCAAAGAGCTTTCCAACCATATAAAATTCAAATATTAAAGCTTTGTGAATTAATACAAAAAAAATAAAATAAATTCAATATTAGAAGACTTTGTTCTTGAAAAATAACTTTCTTAAGTTAATTTATTTCTCAAAACCAATATTATCAAAATTATATCAAATCCCAAATGAATAAATTCACTTTAAAAACAATAATTGAACTTTCATTTAAGCTTAAATAAAAAATGTTTAAAGATACTTTTGATTTGAGAAATAAGAAAACATAAAAAAAGGTTTGTTTAAACTTTAAAAATCATATTATTTATTTAGTACCAAAATATAAAATTTAAGAACATGTACTAAATAAATCTTTTTCAAAATTTTGATCAAACTTATTCAACTTAATGTTTTGTTATTTCAAAATAAGAATCAATTTAAGACTAACATAAAGTATTAAATATAATTTTATTAATATAATACATATATAAATATAAAATTAAATAAATAATAAAAATTAATTTTTATATACATATGGGATCATGTTTACTTGAAATCTGACTTTGACCTGATTCGAGCCTAGAAAAAAGATCAAATTGACCTATTCAAAACTTGATTTTTTTTTAAAAAAATTTAACTTTATAGAATTAAGTTAGATCGAAATTCGATAGTTTAAGGTAAGTTTACCATCCCTAATTTAAATCCTAATAATTGAAATTAAAATTTTAATATTTTATCAACAAATTAATTATGATTGTTGTCAATCTTATTTTTTTTATTGTTAATTCAAAGCTACTGAAACCAGTTGAACTAAAAATTGAGTGGTACATCATTTAGAATTGTAATACCCACTGCATTATTAAAAAATGGAAAAACTAAGACTCCATGTAGTTTAAGCAATTAATTAGTTGTCTTACATAAGAAAAAAACTCTTGGCATCAATCGTTTTTGGGTGTCTGAAATTGAAATGATGTTGACTTTATATTTTAAAAAAATCCAACAAAAGATACAAAATTTCCAACTTAATTGTTTTGCCTTTGGATGAGGAAAAGGAGAAATCCATGATCAAGATGGAGATTTAATTTTTTTAATTAACGATTAATGGAATTGGTAAGTGTCATTTTGGTTGTGAAATTTTAGATTCAACATGTAGTGTTTCAAGAGTGGAAGCAAAAAGGAAAAGACAACAAAAAAATCAAAACAGTTTAATCCAATTGTGTGGGTGGTCACCTGTTTAGAAATTGGCCCACCAGGGATGAGATGATAACAAACTTAAGCAATTAAGATCAATAAAGGCATTAAAATAAAGTATTAAAATTGATGTGACTTTTGAGACAAATGACATCGAGAAACACATTATTGTAATGAAATAGGAATTAATTAATTAATTAATTAATCTGATTAACAAGTAATTTACAAATATTGATAAAAGATAATTTATCTTTAATTTTTTGATTTAATGATAAAAAAGCTTTAAAAAAGACACCAAAGCTTGAGTCAAATTCTAATCTTCTTTCCTCCCTATTGTAAGACTCTGACCCTTTGAAATAAAAAAAAAAAAGATAATTAAACTATTATTTAAAAAATCTGTTTTATGTTTTATTTTCATCAAATTAAAAAAAAATTAATAATACATTAATTGTAATTTTTTTAAAATATCATCATCCTAACTAACATTTTTCTTAATTCATAAATGCATTAAATAAACAAATAAATAAAAATTCATTCATTTTGTAATCATTAAATCATATTTGTAATTCATAAATGCATTAAATAAATACATAAATAATTGTCCATTTTATAATCATTAAATCATATTTGTAATTACAAATTAGTTCATCTAAATAAATTACTGTACAAATTAATTACCTATATAGCTTCAAAAACAATGACTAATTTGCTTGAGCATACATGTGTCACTGGCAAGGCCCAAGAATGGGTACTTGAATTTGTTCTAGGTCATCATTTCGGGCTGGAATTTTGATGTAATAGACCTGGGAATCATTTATATTGATGAAAAGGGGAATGGCTTGATTGCTATTTATGGCCTGTAGACTTCATATAATGGTTTTCTTTTTATCGAATGGTTACTAAAATTTCAATTTGATTTTTCTTTTTTGTACAAAAAATCTTAGTGAACTTGGCTCTAAAACAATTGGTAATAAAAAATATGCTATATAAAAAAAACATATAGAATAAACCATTTAATTGACAAACGGCATGCCAATTTAAGGTTATATATGTTTAGTTGTTTACTTATACTTTTGATTATCAATAGTATGATTAAATGAAAAAAACTCTGGAAACCAGCAGAGGAAACCAAGTAGAATTACGAACCCAGATCGAAGTATGATAGAACCAAACAACTAGAAGAAAATTACAAGAACCACCTAGTGCTCAAGTTGCTATATCTTATTCTATTCTCCACAGTTGAATTCATAATGTACGAATCAACAAACAATGGTGCACCTAATCTTTAGGGAAGAAACCATTTGAGGTTTTAATGTTGGGATCTGTCAAAGAAACAAAAAGTTAACAATAATCGTTAATATAATATGCTAAAACTATAATATACAAATAACTATGACATACAGTGTCATTAAACTTACTAAGTTGGCATCATATGCATAGGTGTCAAAATTAAAAGGATATGGCGCTGTTGTTTTAGTCACCAAATCCGTGGATTGTGAAATTGGAAGTAGGGGAAAACTACGAACATCTCTTTCCACCATTGAAACTTGAGCAGGACCATTGTTGTTCGAGTTTAAGAAATTGATATTTTTTTTATAGAAAGAAATAGTTTAACAAAGGGTATTGGTATTTAAATCTCATATTTATTGGATATTATTTTCAAAAATAATTGTATAAACTAATAAAGTTAAACTTCAAATTACAAAAAAAAAAAAGAAAAAGAAAATTATATAAATTAATAAAACTAAAATTCAAATTAAAAAAAAAAAAACCCTAGAATATTGCATATAAAGAAAAAAAGAAAAAAGGACTAAATGGATGGCTGCCATGATGAGATTTCTTACCACTATAGTTAGTTTGCAGGTAATTAGGTAGTGAGAAGCATTGCCTCCCCAAGTCATTTTATACTCGGTCATGTTTCATTTGAAAAAGAAAATGGAAGGAGTCTCTTTGTATGAACCACCGATCTTGTTATCTTCTGTTACCAGTCTCTTTGCATGATCACTTAAATTAATAAAATTCGACTCATTCAATATTATGTACTTTCTGACTCCAAAAGTGCCGCCATAAGACCATTTTCTGATAGTGTCCATAGGAAAAGATTTCAATGAAATTTTTTTGGTGAATTTGGGAAATTTTGTATTTAAAATGATTAAACCTTTATCTATCTCTTCATGGTTAGAACAAAAAACTCTGGCAACACATCCATCCATTTCCATGAATTTAGCAATCTTGCTTGTAGGGTAAAAATTACCAAAAACACGATCAGGAAATGGTGTCTGAATGAAAATTTCATTAGTCATATCAAATTTTAGAAGAATCTCCTTATCATGATCTCCTTCGGTTATAGCCCACCAATGATAAGACCCATTTAAGTAAACTTGAGAGTCAAGACAAAGACACCAGAGAATGCTTGAATTAGGCTAGATTTTAGAATGGATTCTGTAGGAATTAGTGCTTGAACTATAAACATCGATTGCAATGTTTGGTAAGAAGCAATACTTGCAGCAGCATGAGCCAATTCTTACCACTTTATAATCATCTGTCTCGGAATCATGACCAAAACCCACTGCATCCCAAAAATAGTTGAAAAGTGATAGCATTGAAGAACAACCATATGGTTCACGACCTAGATTATCAACCTCAAGGTCTAAAATAAGCTTGAACTCTTTGGTAGCAGGGTTCCAAATGACAATATCATCATCATCACTCTAAAGACATATTATGCCATTAATGCAAGAACCTTGAAGAGGAATGTACGGAACATTTCTACCAAACAAGTTTGGAATGTCGAGACCAACTTTTACATCAAGTGTTTCATTGGAAAGCAATGAAATAATAGGCTTCTTGGTAACATCATTGTCACGCTGGACAAGAGGATAGGCTTTTGCTCCGCTAAAAGTGATGTAAGCAAACGCAAATTCAGGATTTTGAATCAAAGCTAGCCAAGATTTTTGTATGCAATGAAATCGTTTTAAAGACTTCACTGACAATCTAGCTAGAATCTTAAGCGTTACATCTTCAGGGAAAGTGGCATTAACAGCCATTGAGAATCTTCAAACCTGCTTAACAAATAAAAGAATGAGAAAGTAGACAAAAAGGATTAACCTTTATTTTTTTTTCCTCTCCACTTGTTGCAACTATTTCAATGGCATGAGTCAATTTATAAATAGGGAAAAAGAGATAAATACCAAAATAAAACATTAAAAATAAAAATGTAACATTTATCTAATTAGAGAAACGAATCTTTGCTTATCATTTTACGATTTAATTTTATACATAATTTACTGTATTTTGTAATTACCTAGTACAAAAAATCTAATCTGGCGCAAACTTGTCATACAGTGATGGATTTACCTTTCGACTGTCAACAAATGAATATTGATAAAAAAGGAAATGAAAAGAAAATAAAGTAAAATCCATCTTAAAATTTTTGACCTTATGGAAAATGAAACATATTATAATTTATTGTACCTTATTCTATAGATATCTATTTTTAAAAAAATTAATTTGACATTGGCTATAAAAAGAGGATGATTGGTCTCAATTGAACTTTCTTTGGTCAACAAACCAATGTTAATAAAAAAGGAAATAAAATGAAAAAGATAATAAAATCCATCTTAACCAAACGCCAAATTAAATTTGATTATACAACTAATGAGACATTTATTATTTTTTTGTCGTGACAACTTAATTGATTGATAATATAAAGTACGTATTGAATTTCATTATTAATTTTTATTAATTGATTAAAATTAATTAAAATTTTAAATTAATCTTAATAAAATTTGTAAGGGTTGCATCCTAATAAATTAAGTACTTAACCTCAAAAAATTACTAGCCAAACATGCCATTGCCATTGGTATCCAATAGTAATAAAACAGAAGGTACTATTGTAATAATATATGAATGAAAATTGAGGATTTTTCTGGTAATTTGAACTCAAATGTAGTTTTTTAGGTGATTAGATATTTAAAAAACAGAAATGAATAATATTAGATTATCATAATCTAATTAGAGGATCTTCCAAGTTATTTCATATTATTCCAAGCATTCTGATTCCCGTATCCTCTATCAATGGATCGTAATGCCTTGTGTCTGCATTTTACATCCACATTTTACAATCCAAAAAGTTGGGAGTAAAATGTATATTTATAATGTCGTGAGAAATCTAGATCAACCAAAAAAAAACCTAAGGAAATGGATACTTTTATTGAGTATATTGCCATCATAAGCTCAAAAAGTATTTAAAATAGCAGTAAGAGAAATACAATGAGAAAGAAAGAAGAATGGAATAATCATAAATGTTAACATCCATAACAATCTGTCCCTTGGATGATAGAGATTTTTTTTAATTAGAGATATCTTCGTTGATTCTTTCCTATATTTAACCATAAAAAGCAAGCAGGATACCATAAAGTCCTTTTTTTTATTTTTTATTTTGTAGTAAGATTGGTTTAAGCAAAGCTACACAACTTGAAATCAATTCATAGGCTCACCATGAACAAAAATTACATTATGAGACCACTATAACTATGAGCTAGCATGAATTTGTAAACTAAAAATAGTGGAAGGCAAGTAGAACACAAGCAAGAACATTCTTATATTGCATTTGTTGCAATGCATACAAACAAATATTAGTATAAACAACAAATAATTATCATATATCAAAGTCACATTCAATTGGCTCACGTTCACATACTTAAAATTATTATAATTCTACTTTTCACATTTTATTCCTAATATAAGAGCATATAGGATTTAAGAAGAGCTTAATTTTTATATTTGATGCACATATACATTATGGAGGAAAACTTAATCTAGACATACTACTGCATAAAGTAATCAGTGTATCCATGCTTTGAGGACAATCAATGAAGTTATTTCCTTCATCACCCATACATAGTGCAACTTCATGCAATTAAGTGGTTCCAATTTTGTCCTTGTTATGTCTAAGTTTTGTTTTAGAAAGTATCTTATTTTTTATAGCCATTTTAATAAAAACATATGTTTTAAACTTATTTTAATTGATTATAACATTTCCTAAAATTTTGAAAATGTCAACTCAATCATAGCTATTAACTCCAATTCGAACTAGGCAAACTGATTAAAATTATTTTCAGAACATATCTCATGATTTGTCTATTCGTGCTTCTTGAAATCTTTATTTGGATTTGTAAGACTTGGTTAATTAAACACAATACAATGCTTAAACATTAATTGTAATATTCATATTGCACTGATAATTACAAATATAATCAAATATAACACATAAAGTCATTGAGCTTATGAAATTGCTATTATATGAAATGGTGTCATATATGACATTGTTTTATTCATCCCTCAAAGGCTATGTATAGTAAAGTTCAAAGTCGAGAGCAAATCAAATAGGTTATTAAGCCATTGCAAGCTGTGAGTAGTCATTGGTTTACTTACTTAAAAAATAAATAGTTTGTCACGAAATACTAAATACAAAAAAAAAATAAGGAAAGGAAAAAATTAAACTCATAGTTGTCATGATAATAATGTTGTGATAAAATCATTTTCTCAAAATTTTTGCATTAATTAATCACGTGCAATGCACTTGCATAAAAAATTAATCATTATAATAAATTTGTTTGAATTCTGTTTAGATGTTGGAGAATTTTAAAATGAAAATAACACTTTTTGTAAAAGTTATTTTGAATAGAAAAATAAAATTAATCAATATTTAATTTAATAAAAAATTATCAAAAAAATTTTTCCTAAAATAAAAACTAGGGAGTATACCACATTTCTAGCATTATATATTTGAATCTGATCTTGGGCATGGACTTTTTTTTTTTTAATCAATTAAAATTTTCTTTTACCTCATCTTTTTCTTTAAGTTCTCCTTCCCTTATTTTTTATGCTGAACCATCCTCATTGTCGCCGACCATCTATGTTAAAAATCTCTAAATAAAAAAATACTAGAATCTTTCTTTTTTTTTTTTTTTTACCTTATCTTTGCTTTTATAGAATTAGAATTTTACAAAAACTTCTAGAAACTAATGAATCTAGCCTCAAACCCGAAACTGAAAACTTTATATTTAGGGCCGCCGTCGTTGGTCACCAAACTTTCATCATGGCTTCCTCTATATTTTTCCTAGGTTTCTAACATTGGATTCCTCAAAATCCACCCAAAAATCCTAAAACAAAACCCTAGGAGAGATAGAATCTATTTTCTCCCTTTTGTGTAATTTGCTTGGTATGTAATTTTTTGTGTATTTTTTTATTTAAGTTGATTTATGTGTTTGGCTAAGTTTTTTAAGTTCTGATATTGTTTGGTAAATTTTGTTTTTAGTCATTTTTTGGGTTTTTTTTTATCGATGTTTAATATTGTGGAATCTGTTTTGGTTGTAGCTGATAACGGAGCGCTAGTATTGGCTTTGCCGACGACAGCCGTAGATTTAAAGTGAAAAAAATTTTCCTTCTTGTTAATTACAGCTTATATTTTTAGTTTTTTTATTTAATTGGGTAAAATGGTATTTTTGTATCCAAAGCGGCTGTCAAAAAATATCCCTCAGGCTTCGCTAACGACAACATAGATTTTAAGTGAAAAAGATTTTCTTTTTTAAAATTACGGTTTTTATTTTTATTTTTTTTTATTTTAACTGGGTAAAATGGTATTTTTGTAATCAAATAAAGGGTAAGATGGCATTTTTGTTACTGAGACAGGTGTCAAAAACTATCTCTCAAGGATAGTTTTAATATATAATATGATTTAAAGGTTAATAAGGTAATAAATGGAAATTAGTCAATATTTTTATTAAAAAAGTCATTAATTAAGGATAAAATAATTTAAAAATATATATATATGTCGTTAGCTATTTGCACTTTTAGAGCTCGTTTTTTATATATAATATATTATAAATAAAAGAAAATGATAGGTAGTTAAACTAAATTTCATAAAGTAGATGTTTAAATAATTAGTTTTGGAGAAAAAGAAACAAGCAGGAGAAAAAAGCCCCAAAATTTGTACAATTGGTTACCGAGTCCTAAATATCTTGTGAATATCTTGATGCTATACAGGATTACTTTTTTGCTTAAACATTGGTCTAATTATATACACAACCGAATAGAAAAAAGGGTGCAACACAACCTATTCAATTTTGAACACTAAATTGATTGCAATAACAACCAAATACAACCCTTTTATGAGTATGTGGTGTTAAATTTATTTCATATTATAGACTAACACAATCGATTAACCCAAATTAAAGTCAATAAATGCAAAATTATGAGTAATTGTAGTGATATTATATTATGATATATTAGATCATGTAATATGATTTTAGTTAAGTGTGATCTTAATTTAATTTTATAATTAGACCCATAATGAGATGAATCGATTTTGACTAACATGGTAAGGAATGTTCTAGCTTTCACCTCTCTATATATGAGGCTAATCCATTAGATTTAATAACTTTAGTTTTAAAGGCAAAGAGTAGTTCTCTCTTCTTTTACTATGCAAGTCATAGATTGAAGCTTGGAGGTTGGCATCAGAAAGTACAAGATGGTGGCATTAGTTTTGTGAGTTTGGATTTAGTGAGATTGAGCTCTTACCTACATCTAAATCAATTTTTGTTTTAATTGTAAATTGTATTAGTAACTTGGTGAGCTTTCAACCAAATCTAACATGTGGAAGTGAATATATATATATATATATATATGAGAACAAGGATCTACTTGTCATTAAGTATAGGTCCATAAGTCTATCATTTGATTTAACTTTATGAGTCATTAGCAATTTTTTTTATTTAAGTGTGATTAGTTATCTAATTAATTTATTCTTTTATAGATATCTTAAACTTGACCTAAGCTTTTAACAAAATAGACTCTAATTTACGTTTCAAAACTAGATTCAAGAGTATAATTATGTATAAAGAAGGTTATAGTACCCCTACAACATTTATCCTAAAATGGTACTATATAATTTTAAATTGTCTTAACAATTATTTTAGTTAAATTGATCTTTTATTTAATTTAAATTTTATTAATTAAATAATAAAGAGAATTTTAACTCTTTCCTAACATTTTATGAAATTTTTAAAATTTTTATCACCTCAAGAAATTTCAAAAAACTATTCATTTGCTTGAAAAAAAGCTCTATCGTCAGATTGATTTTGATTAATTTATTTGATTTTTCATTTTAATTTTATTTTAATTGCCTTATTTTATTGAAAAAATATATAAACTTTTGACCATTCTAGAAATATTTAAAAATATTTTCTTACTTAAAAATTTATAAAAAAATCAACCATTCTTGATTTTCTAATTTACTTTATTATTATTTTTTAAATTTATTTTTATTGTTTCTAAAACTGCTTATTTGTATCATTATTATTAACTATGCTTAAAAGTATCATTATTGAAATTTTATCTAATTTTACTACCATTTTAACAAAATAAAATTTTCATCTAAAAATTTTAAAAAATCAACAATTATTGATCTTTTAGAGTCTCATTGGGTTCACTATATTATTTTTAAAATATATCACTCTTATATTTATTATACTCAAAAATAAATGTTAATTATCATTAAAATTTATTTAACTTTATCATTATTCTGGCAAAATTTTTAAAAAAAATTCATTTGGAAATTTCAAGGCAATTAACTATTCTTAATTTCATGTATTTTCCAATAATCAAGCTCTTTAGAAATATTTCTAATCTAAAAGAGAATTAAAAAAAAAAACAAATAAAATGATAAAAAAAATATTTAAAATAAAAAAATCAACTTTGGTCAACAGCTTAAATCGATTTCGTTTGATTTAAGCGGTTTGATCTAATTCAAATTGATTTATTGATGATTTGGCCATATTTTGCCCTTTTTTTATGGTTCGAATAGGTTCAACTCGATCCAAACAAGTTTTGTGGTGGTTTAGAAATTGAGTGGTGCGAGTCAGGTTACGAGCTTCAAATTAGGTCAATGACCCAGCTTCTCAAAATGTAGTTTTAGCTTTGTATAAAAGTCAAAGTTTTTTCTCTTTTCTTTAAGAGCATGTTTGGATTGAGGTAAAGGGCGAGAAAGTGAAAGAATAGAAAGGAAACAAAAAGAAATAAGGAATCAATGCCCTTGTTTATATATGATATAAATAATAATAAAAAAAAGGTATACTTAGCTCATCTCAATTTCCCTCAACTTTTTTTTTACTTTTTAATTATCCCTTATCGGAAGAAAAAGAAAAGAAAGGAAAAGAATAAAATTTTTAAAATATAAAATGATTATTATATTTTTATTAATTTTTTAAAATTAAAAGTATATAATTTTAAACTTAAAATTAAATTGAGAATACAAAATATAATTTATCAATAAATTTATTATTTCTAATTTTTTCTCTTATTTTTATGAATTTTATAAAATTTATTGATAATTATTTTTACGAAAAAATAAAAAAAATTAAAAACATAAAATACGTTAATATAAACATATAAACGTTATAATAAAAACAAATTTTATCAAATTTTATAATAAAAAAATAATATAATAAATTATTTCATTCTCTTTCCATTTTTTAATCAAATAATAATTGATAAGATTCTTTTATTTTTTTTTATTAATTTTAATTATCCTAATAAAATATACATATATCCTTGCATTTTCTTGAAAAAACATTTCTCTTCTTTTACTTTATTTTATATTCTTTTCTTTTCCTAATGCTTATCTCTTCTCTTTCTAGAACTACCGGTTTCTCTACCTCTCTCTCTTACTATTTTCAACCACCGTTGCTTGTCTTTGCGCCGTCGCCCGTCGTCGCCCTCTGCCGCCTGCCAAAATTCGATCAAGCCTAAAATTACACCGTCTTGGATCTGATATCATACTTTCTAAAGTCGTCCTTCAATGACCTAGATCTGAAGTTGAAGCTGTGGCCTTTCCACTACCGTTTCAGGCTCTGTTAGCTGTCCGATTAGCTGAAATTTCAGTATGTTCGTCTCCTTCACGTGCTCTTCCTCCATGTAGGTCCCGATCTTTCAAGATCACAACAGTCACCGTCAACCACCACAGCTACCGCCATTGTTGCCTCCGTTTAAAACTCTAGACCAACAACAAACTTAGACGCCTGCTTGACTAAGAATCCCCAAAAAAGAAATTTAAAGCCCTTAAACTATTACCAGAAAGTCTTTTTGGAATTTGGGTTTTTTTATTGATTCTTGGTTTTTCTTGTTTTTTGATCATGGGTCATCAATACTACTGGATTTATTGTTTGCTAGATTTTTTCTGATTCATTTGTTTCTGTGTATGACGATTTTTCTGTGTGGCTATTTGAATGAATGCGCTGTGTGTTGCATTAAAATTCTAGACTAGGCCTTCTTTATTGTTGGTTATTTTGAATGTGGCCTTTGTGGTTTTCGATAATCAGTGGTGAGTTTGTCTCTTTTGAGAGCGGGTATTTGGTAGCTGGGTTTCTATTACAGGAGAAGTGATGAAATTGGTGTTGGCAAGGGTGTGAAAATATTAGTCTATGCTACTGCTTGGAAAGCTAATTTTGGGGTTAGGGCTTCAGTTGGAGGTGATGGTGGTGGGATGGAAGGTAGCAGTCGATGGTGGTAAGGATAATCCGTAAGTGGGCTAGGAGGTAAAGACTGGTTATTGATCTTGCAATTTTGGTTGCCAATGGTTGCTGCCCCTGAATTGCTTTACTGACGCTTGTTTAAACAGAGAATTTATCCAATTTGAAAAAGAGTTTTAATCAATCTAAATTTCCATTCTTATTTCTCTTATCTCTTTTTAAAAATGTTTATTTTAAAAGATTCAATAGGCAAACTCAGTTTTCAGAAGCAACCCAATCCAAATCACTTTTAAATTCTTATTAAAACTTTCTTCCCTTTTCTTTTGCCCTTTTTTGAATTTCAAAATAAATATTAAAATAAAATAATAAAAAAGCAGAAATAATAAAAAAATAGAAAGATGAAATATTATAAATAAATAAATAAATAAGTAATGAAAAGGACCAGATTAATATACGATTTCCAACCTAAATCAAATCCAAGACCCGATAAGACAAATAAGGTTCAAAATCTTTAAAAGATCCAAGACAAAATGAGAAGTTTACACTACTTACATTAGTTTAGCTTTAACATTTTACAGGATTTTTTAATCAAAATTAAATCATTACTTATTTGAATTAAAACAATATTTTTAAATTAGAAATTTGATTTAAAAGTCTAAAAAGATGTGAAAATTACACTAATATGAGTGAATCTCTTATATATATATATATGAGTCCAATACAACTTATTATAATCATGTGCAAGAAAAACAAAGATAAATGAAGGTGAAGACCACTTCAATTCTCCAAAGAAAGCAAGGTCTCTGCATAAATTAGAACTTGTAAAGATTTCCTTTGGATTTTGAGGGTATTCGTCTCTTGAGTACTTGGATGATACCAGACCACTTTCCCTTCTTCATTCTCGAAGTAGAACCCACCATTGTTGTCAATTGCTAGTGGGCGTTGGATGCCTAAAACAGGTCCAATTGTGAATAATCCTGTCCAAGATTCTTTTACACCAAGTTCACCTAACACCCACACATCAAACCTTTTATCTATCTCTTCATGGTTAGAACAAAAAACTCTGGCAACACATCCATTTATTACCATGAATTTATCAATCCTGCTTGTGAAGTAAAAATGACCAAAAACACCGTCAGGAAATGGTGTCTCAATAAAAATTTCATTGGTCATATCAAATGTTAGAATAATCTCTTTATCAAGATCTCCTTCGGTTATAGCCCACCAATGATAAGACCCATTTAAGTAAACTTGAGAGTCAGGACAACGACCCTGTAGAATGCTTGAATAAGGCCAGATTTTAGGATGGCTTCTCCAGGAATTAGTGCTTGAACTATAAACATCGACTGAAATGTTTGGTAAGAAACAACACTTGCAGCAGCATGAACCAATTCTTACCACTTTATAATCATCTGTTTCGGAATCATGACTAAAACCCACTGCATCCCAGTAATAGTTGAAACGTGTTAGTATTAAAGAACAACTATATGGTTCACGAACTAGATTATCAACCTCAAGGTCTGAAATAACCTTGAACTCTTTGGTAGCAGGGTTCCAAATGACAATATCATCATCACTCCAAAGACATACGATGCCATTAATGCAAGAACCTTGAATACGAATGCAGCGAGCATTTCTACCAAACAAGTTTGGAATGTCGAGATCAACTTTTACATCAAGTGTTTCATTGGAAAGCAATGAAATGATAGGCTTCCTAGTAAAATCACTGTCACGCTTGACAAGAGGATAGGCCTTTGCTTTGCTAAAAGTGAAGTGAGCAGATGCAAATTCAGGACTTTGAATCAAAGCTAACCAAGATTTTTGTATGCATTGAAATCGCTTTAAAGACTTCACCGGCAATCTAGCTAGAATCTCAAACGTTACATCCTCAGGTAAATTGGCATCAACAGCCATTGAGAATCTTCAAACCTGCTTAACAAATAAAAGAATGAAAAAGTAGAAAAATTGGATTAGTCTTTATTTTTTTTCTTCTCCACATGTTGCAACTATTTCAGTGACATGAGCCAAATTATAAATAGAGAAAAAGAATAAATACCAAAACAAAACAATAAAAATAAAAATGTAACATTCATCTAATTAAAGAAATAAATCTTTACGTATCTTCTTATGGTTAAATTTTTACGTAATTTACTATATCTTATGATTACCTATTACAAAAAACTAATTTGACACAAATCGTGTCATAAAACGATCGATTTATCTTTCGGTTGTCAACAAATCAATATTGATGAAAAAGGATATAAAAAGAAAATAAATAAAATCCATCTTATCAATATCAAATGAAAATTGACATATAGATATTGATCACTTATACCAATCTTATCCTTGTTATGTTTAAGTTTTGTTTCAACAAGTATCTCATTTTTTATTACCACTTTAATAAAAACATATGTTTTAGATTTATTTTAATTGATTATAACATTTCTTAAAATTTTGAAGATGTTCACTTGATCTTAGCTATTTAACACCAATTTAACTAGGCAAATTAATTGAAATTATTTTCAGAACATATCTAATGATTAGTCTATTCATGCTTCTAGAAAACTTTATGGATAGTATATTTCAAATTCGAGAGAAAATTGAATAGGTTATTATGCCATTGCAAGTTGTACGTAAGTAGTCATTGTTTTACCTACTTAAAAAATCGATAATTTGCCACGAAATACTAAATACAAAGAAATAGAAGGAAAGAAAAATAATAAAACTCATGGTTGTCATGATAAATTTGTTTGACATTAAGATTTAATTGTGTTTAATTGTACAGTGTAAACACTATTTTGTATTTATTATTATTATTATATTTTTTTATTTTTATTTTTTTTTTCGGTTTAACTCGACAGAAATCTGAGTGCATTAAATGCACTCTCTCCAAAATCCAAAATCACGATCACTGTCACTACCGGCAGTTGCCTGACACTCTACCTAACTTGGCAGCTTGAATCTCGACCACCAAAAGTCTACCATACCGATTTAAAATATGGGATTTGAATCCAAAAAAATCTAGGATTTGAATCCCAGAAAGCTTTATAAATAAAGCTTGATTTTGGCATCAAAGAGAACAGGGGAAGGCCATCGATAAAAAAAAAAATCCAAGAAGGCTCGCAAAAAAAAAAAAACTTTTTGTTTGAAAAAAAAAGGAATCAAAACACAAACAAAACTCAACTTCTGGAAACGAGGACTACAGCACCAAAAAAAAAAAAAAAACCAACACAAACAACAACAAAAAAATTGATCAAACTTTTCAGGCCAGATCTACGTCGTTTGGAGCCTATTTTCGTAAAACCAAGCTCAGATATGGACTCTAGAGGTTGTAGGGAGCATTTCAGTGTTTTTGAAAAAATTTTCGATCACCGTGATAGCCGCTGGAGCTAGCCGACGATGAGAAACACAATGGCCATCAAGGCGAACGATCACCGGCCCCAGATCGATTTGAAAAAAAAAAAGGGAGAGGAGAGTTTTTTGTTTTTTTTTTTTTTTTTTTGAGAGGGGGAGAAATGAAAGAATTTTTTTTTTTTTTGACTTTTATGTAAAAGGCTAAACCAAAAATGACGTTGTTTCATTTAAATGCCCAAAATGACGTCGTTTTAGTCCATGAGGATTCGTGCGTCAACCTGTGACTCGACCCGTGGTCCACGCACTCGACCTGACAACTCGTCAATCCCTCAGCCTTTGATCGGTCTAGCTAAATCGATCCAGATCGAATAGAACCATCCCCAAGCCGTTGGCACCAGACTGAGCAATCAGACCAAATCACGCGTTGACTGGACCGTTGACTTGTTCGATTCAGGTAAAAATTTTTTTTTTATTTTTTAGATTTTTTGTATGTTATTTTTTTTATTTTAATTATTATTCATAATATTTATGCATGTTAAAATATTTAAATTTATCATAATAAAATTTTGTTGTTTTATAATAATAATTAATAAAAATAAAAAATATAATATAATAAATTTTTTTTTTATAATTTTGAATAAACCTTATAAAATAATTGGTAAAAAAATTATAATTAAATAAAAATAATACAAAATTAATAAAAAATAAGAAAAAAAAATTTTATCCGACGATGAGATACAAAGGTACTCCAAGTAGTAACACCTAAGAAATTTCTAGATAAGAAGATTTTTTTAAATACTGCTAGTGTATTGGAGTATTTATAAAAAATTTCAATATAATAAAAAGTTTTTTTTGTTAATAAATAAATAAATAATTTATTTATTTATTAAAAAATAAGTAATATAAATAAGGAAAAAGAAAATTTTAACTAATGATAGGATTTTAAAAGTATTTCGAGTAGTGATACTTTACGAAATCCCTAGGAGAAAAGATTTTTTTAAAAATATTACTAGTGTATTGAATATTTATAGAAAAACTTCAATATAATAAAAATTTATTTTTTCTTCAAAAATTTAAATTAAAAATAAAAAAAATTAATAAAACAATCAATAAATTTTTTTTTTAAAAAAAGGTATATGCATAAACATATCAGCATTTTGCATGCATGCATGATATAGTTTTTTTTATGAAAGGTAAATTTGAGCCTTCGAGGTCGAGATTCTACTGTATTCCAAGAAGTGATGCCTAAAAAATCTCTAGGTGAGAAAAAGCTCTTCTAATGTTACCAACGTACTAGAACATTTTAAGAATAATTTCAATAAAAGGGTTCAAATTTATTTTTCTCAAATAAAATTTGAGCAATAAAATATAATAAAAAAATAAATTTCCAATAAATTAAAAATCAAGAAAATTATTTTTCAAACACGAAAATAAGATTGTTTTTATTAAAATCAATATATAACACATAGTTAATTGGTACCATTTTAAACGGATACTGTAGGGGTACTAATCCTTTCCCATGCATAACCAACTCCTGGACCCAGACTGTTTCGCAGACCGTAAAATCATCTTTTTAATAAATTTTAAAACTTTATTAAAAGGATGAATTTTAATAGGTGGCCAATCGCATATAGCCAAAAAAGATTGGTGGCGACCTTGTTATTTTTTATTTCGTTTCCAAATTCGACGGGCGAACACAAAATCGTTACGACATATAGTTAATTTAGATTATAAATATAAATTACCATAATATTTGACGTTAACATTAAATCTTATTTGATTGCATAATAAAATTTGATTATAAATAAAAATATCATAATAGTCAAATTTTATCATAAATATAAAGTTGAAACAAGATAAAATTTATCATAAAAAATGGTATAACAAAACAAACAACTAATTTTCTAGCCAATAACAAAAAAATTAATTAAAAGAATAAATATTATATTCACAATTAAATTTAATAAAACAATTACCAAAACTAGATAGATACATTTTTAATAGCTTTCTCAGGATTCTCAAAATGGATAGATAAGCACATCTTTAAAAAGTTATGAAGTTTAAAAAATAAAAAATCATTTAAATTTAGGATTAGAGATTTAAGCATAATTAACAATAAGTGAGAGAAAATTATTTTATTTTTCAATAAATTAAAGTATACAAATTCTACTCATAATACTCTAAATGGGTATATAAATTGTACTTATAAGTTAAAGTCATTATATATTTCAATATAATAATAAAAAAGAAAATAAACAAATAAAATTTGTCAATATTTACTTTAATAAGAAAATTATCAATTAAAAAAATTGCTTTAATAAAAACTTAGGAGTATACCATGTTTCATACTAGTCGAACATGTTTTGGATTTGATCTTGGGCACAAACCCTTTTGTTTTTTTTCAATCCAATATATAAATTCCTTTTTACCTTATCTTTTCCTTTAAGTTCTCTTTCTAAAAATCCATCCTCTCTTTCTAAATCCCCAAAAACTTTATTTTCTTATGCTTAACCCCCATCATTATCGCCGACTATCAATGTTAAAAATCCCTAAAAAAATCATAAAATTTTTTTTTACCTCTTCTTTGCTTTTATAGGATTAGATGTTTACAAAAACTTTTAGAAACTATTGCATTTGGCCTCAAACCTGAATTGAAAACTTTATATTTAGGGCCTCCATTGTTGGCTGCCAAACTTTCACTATCCTTTTCCTAGGTTTCTACCAATCGGATTTCTCAAAATCCACCCAAAAAAATCCTAAAACAAAATCTTAGGAGAGATAAAATCTCTTTTCTTCCTTTTATATAATTTGCTTGATATGTGACACTACCAAAATTACTTTTAGTACAGACAAAATTTTTTTATTGATAATATATAAGAGCATAAATCATACAAGTAGTAAAGAAAAGATTATCTCCTTGGAGATTATTATATTAAAAGCAACAAATACCAAAATGTATCACTTTATCTTATACTTTGAAAATTCAAATCAAATATGCAAAACAGATATAAACTCTGCAAAACTATAAACCTATATAAAATTAAACCTAATTAATAAATGAAACAAGATGCAAGTATCTATGACTAGATAAAAGTGGAACTAAAAGAATGAAATAAGATTGAACTAAAATCAATAGCTTCTAACTTAACAAAACCGAAACCTAATTAACCTTAATAATACTAAACCGAAAGCAATTAAACACCAAATTAAACTAATAGCAATTAATTTAACTAGAACATGCAAAACCTAATCAAATTAACAATAAAACTAATAGCACTGCTATTATATATGAGGCTTAAAAATCATTTCAAGTGCTAGAAGAGTGCATTTTTAAAGTCGTATCTACAAAACAAAGCACCAATTAAAGAGTTTTGCAAAAGTCGATGGCCAAATTGAAGACTAAAGAAGAATGGGTCATTTTCTTACAAAGGCTTACCGAGGATAAAATTGAATGGATGGCGTCTTGGATACCTTATGTACCTTTATTGTATTGTGAAAGAAATAAGCCGTGGATGCTGCTGTTAGGGTTATGGGGTATTGTAAGTTACGCTCTATTGATGATGCTTAGGCAATTTGGTGCAAAGCAATTTGTTTTTGCTACTCATGGCCTGGTTCAGGTAGAATTCATTTACGGGGAACCAAATCCATCAAGA